TGTTGGCTGCTCTGGTAACAGAAGAGTTGAATGTCAACTGCCCGCCAACTACTTAATTTAATAAACCAGTCAGTAACCTATGATCTTCAAGAAGACCTGAAACTCACTCAGGAAACTGGCAGTTGAAAAGGGAAAGTTGAAATATTTCGACATAGCGTAGTGAGCCATGCTCTTTGAGTAACCTGCAAACAAACAGGCAAATCCCGAATTCGTAGGCTTAGGACTCACCTGATACTTTAGTGTTCAGATCAAATTATTTTCATTTCCTATCTAAGATAGAATAAAATATTATACCCGTTTGCCATCTTAATATTCTCTAACAGCAATGTGAGCTTACTCGCGTTAATGATAAAATTTAAGTTTCACCTTTAGGGTGAATAATGTTGGCTATTTTGACACCATATGTAGATGCAGCATTGTTCACAGAATTCTATTTAAAGAAGGCAATATATTTTACCGCCAAACAAAAATCTAAATAGTGATTATGGTAAAATTTTGCGGATTTCTTTAGGCAGGATGGAAAGCAAACACACTCATTTTCCATTGCTTTCTACCCGTTAAAAAAGTCTTGATGGTTTCGTAAACCGATGAAATCTTTGCTTTCTTTCTCGTTTGTTTAAAGTATTTTCTACTCTTTTAAATTTAGTTTTTTTAATCTCCTAAAAGATTCTTGAAAAATTAGAATTTTGTTATCTCCGCCAAGCAAATTATTTTGTTCAATTGCAACAATTAAAAATAAGTATAAATCAATTTGAACTCATTAATTAAACATAAAATTATTATTTTACTGATGCACATAATGTGCAAAATTATTTTCTATTTGAATCTTTTTAAGCGCCATATTTGATTTTAACTTTTAAAAATTTATTATTTGGACAATGGAAATGTTTTATGGGAAGATTTTTATTGCTCTGCTATGCGAAATAAAATAATGAATTGGGTTGAAAATAATAAGCACGAAAAATAGATTTGATTAAAAATTTATTTGTGCAGTTTTGAAGCAGTCACGTTTTGTGTATTTCAATTCTTTTCACTCTTTTTTTAAATTTAAAAGCATGAATTGAAAAGTTAGGTGCTTTAAAAGTTGAATTAAAATAGTGGCAATTATTTTTCCTTTTGTTAAATATTTTCATTTTAAATCAAACGGACAGCAAAAACAGTAATTCGAATAACCACAAAATAAATGCATTGCATATTTTTAAACAGTTTGAAGAATTTTTTAATTTTTTGTCGGTATTTTTAAACACATAAATCTTCCAGATTTTAAAATATCAGACGAGATATCATTTATAAATAATAATGTGTGAATATTAAGAATTCGACTCTGTTTTGAGTAGTCCTTTAATAAATAAAACTGATAATCTTGATAATTAACGAATGTTTTAATTATTACTACTCTTTTTTAATTTTCATTCAGACATCCAACAGTATACCAACTGTGGGACAGCATAGCTATTTTTCTGCAGAATGCTTAATTAATAATCGAAATTACTTATGCAACTATAATAGTAATTGGCTGTTTTAGTAACGTTGAGAACGTACTAAGAAAGCTTGTGTCAAGAGGAAAGTGATTAAGCTCATTTTGTGTCGATAGACAAACTTTTCCTCCTAATGTTCACACTTTACACATTTTAAACCAGTAGAAGCTTTTCATTGGAGTGCCTTCAATATGGAACAGTAGATAAGACGGTGATAGGTACGATGGAATCTATTGATAAGGACTGAGTTCAAATGTAGAATTTTTTCACTCTACCAGTTTTAAAAAGGAAATTTCAAGCCAGTGCTACAATATCATAAGATTGATATTGTTGAGACAATAAATGTGGAGAAACGCAAAAGTAATTTAATCTAATGCTCTAATCTAAAAGGGTTTGGAAGTAAATTAAGAGTTTAACTTATATGTGTATATATTTAATTATGCAATACAAAGCCTTTTCATTAATACAAGAGCCTGATAAGTTATTAAATTTCGTTCTCGATATATTCGTTACAATTTGTTATTCATTTAGAATTTATACTAATTAAAAATAACAATTATGCTTTAACAACACTTTTTCATGAATTCTGATACTTTGGCTGATGGTTTCCTTGGTACAACCTATTTATTTTTTTACTTTAAACTAGGCCATGATTTTCTAATTAGTGATTAAATTAATTTTAAAATCAAAGATTTCTTTAAAAGACTGAAACAGTATTAAAATGTCTGTTTAGTTCGAGGTAAGAAATTATGTTTGGGGAGGGGGAAGGAGGGGGAGGGGAGATGTGAGAGAGCCAGAAAATGAGATTTACTTTAATTTGCCATTTTCAAGCGCGATCCGAGTGTCCATTCATTAAAGCTGTCTGGAAAGTCATTTGTTTATATTTGCTCTCAAGGAAATGAGAGTGAGAGAGAGAGACAAATCTTCATTGACTCTTCACACGTTTGTCAATGTAATTTCTGATGCACTATTTAGCTCTTGTAGTTTAATATAGATATTCTAATGTATGACTAATAGATTGTTATTTCCCATGCCAGTAATTAGAAGTTCCAATGTAAGCTAACATAATGGGATAGCATTTAAAGCGCATAAAGGGGGGATATGTATATTAAACGCTTAAATCACTTTTATTACCCCCCAATGTTTCATGTCGCCATATTTATTAATCGATCACTGAATTCAGAGCCTGTGGATTGTTTAATTTTTCTTTATAATAAGATGTTCCCGTAGCATTACTGACGTGAAAAGTGATTAAAGCACTCTGAAACAACTTGTTTGTAAATGAGCAACCAACTGTATTTTGAGTTAACTTTTCTTACAGAAAAGTAGAAGAACACACTACAATTATGCTCGAATATGATGAAATTCTTTTTTAAAAGTCTAAAATTGTATCCTTCTTCAAATTGCCACATACAAATTACCTGTGCACATATGGGTACTTTGAAATCGATTGCAAGCAATTAATGGTAATTTTTTCGGAAAGAACAAGTGCCGTTTATATTATCTTGATATTGGCACCATTTGAAAGATCGCGATAATTGGACTTAAAACCCTCACCATACAAACTATATGACTTGTTTACAAGATGGAGTTACTTTGATAGGCATTTCCTTGCCAATAAAAATTTATTTATCTTTTACCTAGAAATACAAATTACTGAAAGTAATGTGTGCTTAAAACTTGCAAACGTTGAAATATGCTATTTTTTTAAGCTTACGCATTAAGATAAATTGCAATAATAATATTGAATTGTGGAAATAGATAACAGTAGTTTAAAAGCTGAAGTTAATACGTTTGAAATTTCATCAATCGAAATGCGAAATCAAATTGTTTTCTAATTTAGATTTCAAAAATTAAACTTTTAGTTTTTTCATATATTCAAGCCATTACTTATAGTTGTTGTTTCTTGATCACTTTTATTGCTTTAAAAAAGTCTATTCATATGTTTGGCCTTTAATTAGGCGTGTTGATCTCCATTTACCATGTTAATTCAAAATGGGCATTTTGGTAGTTTCTATTTCGAAAATATTACCTTGGGTTCAATGGAATTTTGCTCAGAAATGGGTTCTAACAAATATTTTTATTTATGCCTTTACTCAGAGATTAAATAACTTTGTAATTTTAAAAATCGAAATTCAGCCGACACTTAAAGTCCTTTAGGCAGGAATGCTTGTTCTCACCTTCCATAGTGTACCAAGAATAATACAAATTATATTGGAGTGGGGTGTGCGATAGACTTACCTCCACGTGGTGNGGTGCACCCTGGGCAACGTATACTCATACGGCAAAAAGTCAATTAACTGGCAGTTGACTTCTCACTTCAAACTGCCATCACCCACACTGTATGTCATATTCGACCCCTTCCACAGTAATCACCTCACCTTTTTTCTACCTTTGTGTCTGTCTCTTTTACATCTTTGAAACACTCTTCTCTTCCCTCCCCACCCTCTCGACTTTTTTCCCTTCGATGTTCCTTCCTCTCTGTGAAGCCCGAAGTCAACTAAAGGGCTAAGGACAATCATCAAAACGCCCGCCATTTGATATAAATAAATATGTTAACCACTTGTTACAATGCTGTGACTATTTTAAATAGTAATATCCATATTAAGTGAGAAAAATCGATAGCATTACTGATGGAACTTAAAGAAATCATTGAAACTGCCTTTAGCAAACAGATTTAGATTTTCCTTCAAAAGTAACTGATATGCCACTGACGTTAATGTTGACGAAGGAGTCGAATGAAATGTAGGGCGAGATTAATTGTGAGGCAGATGGGTTTCCTATCGCCTAATCTTCTTGTCAGGGAGTTAGCACGCAAGTCATACGGATAGTGGGCCTACTTTTCCAGCAAATGATGCGTGGCCTAAATTTGGATTCGGGTAAAAATTCCACCACCATTCTCAATTAGTGTTGTCAATTAATTTATTGGCAATTCGTTGTAAACAGTCCCAACTTAACCCGTTTAAGCTTTCAGTATTTTTCAGAATTCAATTACTTCGACATAAGGTATAGATTTTGAGTTGGCAAATGCAACATATTCCATTATTCTGTATTTATTTACTTAATTTCAATATTTTAATCATCACTTTACGAACAAATTCTTATTTATAAAACATAGATCTACTTGATTGGTTAATATCAACATTAATTAGAAATGTAATATCAAGTTATTTATGTATTCACAGAGCTACAACCAGGCAAAGGTAAGTTGAACGTAGGTAACTGAACAATACCTATTGCCCTCTTTAAATTATCATTGTTTTATTTGCATTCACTGAAATTTTTTTCGTACAAATCTCGTTGCTTGAGAAAACCTGTCATCAAAGTGTTTCGTTCATTTCTCAAAGACTTAATTCGAATTCATCAGTGATCTAAAATGAGTATTTGTCATTAAATCTTGGCCCTAACAGTAATCAAGCACATTTAAAATTAGGAAACAGAATTCTCCCTTGTAATGTCCATAAATTTCAACAGTTTGAGTGAGGATACGAATCGTGCCCCCTAGAGGTGGAGTAGTACACAATGGAAGCTGATTTGCTCGATGAATTAGAAAATATTGCAAATAACCTTAAACATCACTCGAATGACCTCCTTCATTATGAAAATTGTGTCGATCGCTGTTTGACTTTGTCTTCTAAAGGCACTGAAGACATCAAATTTATCTTCCAATTTAAGGTATGCTAAACTTTCCTACAACTTAAAACATGAACGAAATTTTAGCCTGATTATCTGCGCAACGGAGGCGAGGCATTCGTCTATCGTAATGGCAAACGTCTTAACAATGAAGGTGTTCCATTCAGGCACTTGTCAAATATCATAGTACTCATTATGGGCTTTATGGCTGTAAAAAGAGAGAAACCAATGCCTTATTTCGCGTCTAACTTCAGCGCCAACTTATTCGCTGAATATGTCAACAATCACGCGGGTACCCCATGCATCGCCTTCATCTAGCTTTCGCTATCCACAAGGAGCCTCAATTTATTTATTTATTTATTTGCGTTATTAAGAAATGCGTAATGTCAAAGGCTGTGTTGCAGTTATTGCATAGATGCAGATAACCAAATAAAACTTATGGTACTATTATATAATCAGTAGCTATGAAGTTTGTCGGTCAGCAGATGGAAGGAAGAGTCGAATAGGTGTTAGTTCTTATCTGTTTATACGGTTAAATATTTATTTATGTCAAATGGCAGGCGTTCTGATAGTTATCATTAGCCCATTCGGGCTTCATAGAGGGGAGGAATACCAAAGTGAGAAAAATTTGAGGGGGAACAGATGTAAGAGACCGACATTAAGGCAGAGAAAAGGTAAGATGAGTACTGTGAAAGTCACCTGCCAACTGCCAGTTTCTAGACTTTTTGCCATATGAGTATTCGTTGCCCAGGGCGCACCACTTGGAGTTAAATATATCGTGTACCCTCTTTTCCATCATAATAGTATCTCTTTCATTATTCTAAACGCGTCCGATTGATCGGGATGAATACCAGTTGAAATTTTGGCCGTGTCTGATGATGTTGACATAAAGCTTTCTCGAAGTATTACTTAATAGATCTGGGGGTTTATCGACTCTGTTTTCTATGTTTGTTGGAAGACGGGTGAATTTGAGGGCTTCGTTGGGGATCCTAAAGATTTGAAACATTGCCAGAACATTCCACTTCCTCTATTCTTATGTCATATGATTAGTTCAATAATTATTATTCCACCAATGAAAACTAACTACACAATAAACATTAACAATTTGCAACTTTGTTATTTTTCTGCAATATTTCGCTTCCCCATAAAGGAAGCACCCACTCATTTGTTTGAAATTAATTTTGAATCTTTCAAAATGGCCCCCTGCACTCCTAACGCATGTATGTCAATGGGTCTGCTCGAAAACATTTTTAAATTATGTAAAAAAACAAATAAAAAGTCGCTGTATGTCCATTTCTCAATTAGCAGATATTGATTAGTTAAGAAAAATTGAATTATTGCTTATTATATGAGTATTATTTTTAATAAAATGAATTTGAATTTAAAATAAGTGATTAGTAATAAATCACTATAAAATTAATGTTTCAATAATTTTAAGTTCGGTGGGTTTCGATACTTCTTTATATTTTGCAAATTTTTTTCATTTAAATGAGATCATTTACAATTGGAATACATCTGACAAGAATGCCCCATAAAGTTTACGGGGTTAATTGCAATAAGCATGGCGTCTAATAACCATCTGACGATATTATATATTAAATTAAAAAAAAAACTAAAAAAGGGGTGTGCGATAGACTTACCTCCACGTGGTGCACCCTGGGCAACGTATACTCATGCGACAAAAAGTCTATTAACCGGCAGTTGACTTCTGACTTCAAACTACCCTCATCCCATTGCATGTCATATTTGACTACTCCCACACTACTCAACTCACCTTTTTCCACTTTTGTGTCTGTCTCTTTTACATCTTTGAAACACTCTTCTGTTCCCTCTCTCCCTCTCGACTTGTTTCACTTTGATGTTCCTCCTCCTTTGTGGAGCCTGANGGTGCACCCTGGGCAACGTATACTCATACGGCAAAAAGTCTATTAACTGACAGTTGACCTCTGACTTCAAACTACCATCACCCCACTGTATGTCATATTTGAATACTTTCAAAGTACTCACCTCATCTTTTTCTACCTTTGTGTCTGTCTCTTTTACATCTCTCCCTCTCGACTTCTTTTTTGCTTTGATGTTCCTTCCCCCTGTTAAGCCTGAAGTCAGCTAAAGGGCTAATGATAACTAACAAAACGCCTACCATTTGATATAAATAAATAAATATTGGAGTACAAATATTACCCTAGGCTAAATGGCCGCCTAGTTTGGGGAGTAAGGACGGTAGCAGATTGCAGACTTCTCATCGGAGAGGTCCAATGATTCCATCTTTAGCATAGCATGAGCTTTGAAATACTACCTTCGTTTTTCAGAAATTTATTAATTTAAAACGTTCGATTTGTCGGAATATTTGGGTTGGCATCGATAGAAAGCAGCGGCTTAAGCGAAAGGAGAAATATCTCACCTCATTTGGAATTCAAATTCATCGTTTGTCCACTTTTATCGCCGTTCACCTTTTAATTGGCCTACTTTCAAAATTCAGCCCCGCAGTTTTTGTGATGAGTTTATATACAGAACTTATTTACAAGTGAACTCAATCACAAATCTGATTCAATTATTTGTTCAAGTGATTTCGAGTACTGTTCATTTTTATATCCATGAAACTTCCCCATTTTAACCTAGTTAATAAGCTAGATATTGATGACTATGCCCAGTTTATACCCACTTGTCCTTGTCTAACCTGTCCTTAATGGAAGTTCAAACGAAAAGTTTGTTTAGTGGGTTTAAAACATCATTTTGTACATATGTTCCGAAATATCAAACTAGGTCAGTCGACTTCGGCCAGTTGGATATTGTAAAAGCCATGACTTTTAAAGTACTTATAGGATTCAAGAGTGCTGGTCATAGAAAAAATTATTAATGTACTAAAAAAGAATTTTTATCAAGAACTATTTTTAAATTTTTCAATCAATAAAATCAAGTTGATTAATCTGCTTCAATAAACTTGAGAAATTAAGATAAAGAGTATTTTTAAATAGGTAATAAAATGCATACATTAATTTAAAATTTCTATTTGAATTTAGTTAACAAATTTGAAAATAAGCTCTGTCGATCTATGCGTTTTTATGTACAAAAATAATTAGTCGTAAACAGTCTGCAAACAGTCATATGATCTGCAGTAGTAATTAAACTATGTTTTGTGATTTCAATTACCAAGACATAATTTTACCCCTTTTAGATATTGAGATTTTTAATTAGTTGAAATTTTGAATGAACCGCTGAACATACGAAGAATTCTTTTGTGACGACCTAGAATAAATACTTTTCCAGAAAAATATTTGCCCCATGGTTCAAATGCCTATTTTTCGTTGGTAAATATCAAAATATAATTTGGTTAACTGTTAACAGAAGCATTTATTGATTTTTTGCCATAAAATGAAGCATTGTGACAAATCCACCTTGAAACACTGTATTTGTTATGATCGGCTCAGAAACACTACTCCTGACACTGGGCGATAGAAACCAAGTGCCTCAAAAATACACCCCGTGATGCCAGAGATACCGGTGAAAAATTAGAAATAGGTGGATGGTTAATATAGAGAGGTCATTGTATTACTAAGACAAATTAATCATAGTCCTCATTTATACAAAACCCACAATTTTCTCTTTAAGGGGTATGCGATAGACTTACCTCCACGTGGTGCACCGTGGGCAACGTATACTCATACGGCAAAAAAGTCTATTAACTGGCAGTTGACTTCAAACTCCAAACTACCATCACCCCATTATATGTCAAATTCGACTACTTCAACCGTACTCGCCTCACCTTTTTTCCAACTTTGTGTCTGTCTCTTTTACATCTTTGAAACACTCTTCTGTCCCCCCCCATCTCGACCTTTTTCACTTTGATGTCCCTTCCCATCTGTGAAGCCTGAAGTCAACTAAAGGGCTAATGATAACTATCAAAACACCTGCCATTTGATATAAACAAATAAATAAATAAATTTTCTCTTTATATTTGAAGAAAATAATATTGCTTAAACTGATGGAGAAGGGGAGGCAAATGTTTTATGTAATGGCCAACTTCGTTGCACCTCCTTCACTTATGCCATGACTATGTACCAGACCAAGGTATTAAAAGCTATATTATTTTAGGAGCGGTGATACCTGCTTAAGGCGACACTCTTAAGGTATTTTATGCCACTATGTCCTTGAAAGATTGTGTCCCATACTATATATAGTATTATCAACTTCCAGCATATGGTGTACTGGTCACAATAATGTTAATAATTGAAACAAGTTTAATAATAAGTGATATGGTGATATCGCGAACAGATAATGACTAGTAAAGGTGATNACTTCTTTTTTGCTTTGATGTTCCTTCCCCCTGTTAAGCCTGAAGTCAGCTAAAGGGCTAATGATNTTGATTAGTTAAGAAAAATTGAATTATTGCTTATTATATGAGTATTATTTTTAATAAAATGAATTTGAATTTAAAATAAGTGATTAGTAATAAATCACTATAAAATTAATGTTTCAATAATTTTAAGTTCGGTGGGTTTCGATACTTCTTTATATTTTGCAAATTTTTTTCATTTAAATGAGATCATTTACAATTGGAATACATCTGACAAGAATGCCCCATAAAGTTTACGGGGTTAATTGCAATAAGCATGGCGTCTAATAACCATCTGACGATATTATATATTAAATTAAAAAAAAAACTAAAAAAGGGGTGTGCGATAGACTTACCTCCACGTGGTGCACCCTGGGCAACGTATACTCATGCGACAAAAAGTCTATTAACCGGCAGTTGACTTCTGACTTCAAACTACCCTCATCCCATTGCATGTCATATTTGACTACTCCCACACTACTCAACTCACCTTTTTCCACTTTTGTGTCTGTCTCTTTTACATCTTTGAAACACTCTTCTGTTCCCTCTCTCCCTCTCGACTTGTTTCACTTTGATGTTCCTCCTCCTTTGTGGAGCCTGAAGTTAACTAAAGGGCTAATGATAACCTTCGAAACCCCTGCAATTGATATAAATAAAATAAATTCAACTTAAATTCTATTATCTCAAGCTCTTGAAAGGTTTCCCTGACTCTCTCCTCCCACAACCCCAATTTCCAATCCAACTCGATCCACTCTTCAATTATCAACGCTATCCAATCTTTCAAGGCATATTTGTCCAACCCAGCTATTGGTCTTGTTAAAGGCTACTCTATCCTGTAACGTTTAACAAGATGTTAGATTCCAAGAATCCAAAAATATTTCCTTATTTGTACACAGCTGTGTTATGGGATTGGAGTAATGTTCTGCTATCTCATGAAAGGTAGGCGGAAGACTCAATCTGCCAATGATAATATTCGTGGGCTAAG